CTGTGAGGCTGCTATGCCACGGTTTAAGGGCTGAGCCCCACGGGGATGTTGGAGGAGGAGGGTCGGACAGGGGGGTTTGTGGGGGGCGCAGGCTGCGAGGTGTGGGCAGGGTGGGCAGCGGCGCGGTGCCCGTGCCGGCGGAGCCGGTGGTGCTGGGTGCCGGCAGCCCCGGGGTGCACAAAGCCCCTTTGAGCTCCTCACAGAGGAGCTGCTGATGCCTCGCCGGCCCTCGGAGCCGGAACGGCCACTGCAGAGGAGAATGGAACCCTGGGCGCCCGGGAGGGCTGGCGGGGAGGGGAGCGCAGGGCTCTGGGTCTGAGCGTTCTCCGCGTCAGGGACAGCTGCCCATGGGGGGCCTGGCCCCAGGCTGAGCTCTGAATTTGGGGTGCCCAAAACATGGGCTGATCCCCGGCCAGCCCCGCTGGACTGGGGAGCTGTGGGGAGCAGGGGGTGCCCCAGCCGTCCCACGTGGGGATGGGGACTCGCTCCCTGCCACCACGGGTCGTGGTGGCATCCACGAAGCCACCAGCCCGTGGTCTCCAGGGTGGCCGCGGGGAAGGCTGCAGTGCACAGCGAAGAGGCAGGTGGGACCAAATGAGACGCAGTGGCACCTGCTGGCACCTGCTGGCACCTGGTGGGACCCGGTGGGAGCCGGTGGGATGCGCTGGGCCGCAGGGGGACCCGGCAGGCCCTGGCAGCCCTGCTGCCGAGGCCGGCTGGCCAGGCACAATACCACGGCCCCTCTGCTGAGCCGCCGCCGAAGCCCCTTTCCCAGCGTCGAGCGCCTTTGTCTCGCCTTTGTGATGGAAAGAGCCCCCCCTCCTAAATCACTGCCCTGACACCCCCATTGTCTCCTTCCCGGGGAGGTTTGAAACTTCCCCCCCCCCTCTCGAGGTCAGGAATGTGGCCGGTTTCTATTGGGACGGAGGAGCAGGGCTGGGTGGGGGGCTGCGGGGTCACGCCGGCTCGGCGGGTCAACCCGAAAACAAAACCTTTTGAAATACCTACTCTCCATCACTGCCAACATTGTCCCCTGCCAGCGGGGGCCTGGCACGGCCCCTCGACGCCTCCAGCCCGGCCGCTGCCCACCCCAGCGGTCAGCAGCTGGGGGGGGACAGAAGGGTATTGTGCCGGAGGGGACAGCTTTGTTTTCGGTCACAGCTGCCCCGGGCTGGGACGGGACCGACCGTCAGCCCCACTGGGGTGAGAGGAGGGAGGGGACGGGAGTGCACTGGTCAGGGCATTGCAGGGGGGACCTGGTCCGTGGGGTACCCCTCTGTCCGTCTGGGATGTGGCACTGGGGGGGACAGAGGGCAGCTCCCTGTTGTCCCTGGAGTGAAGCCTCAGGGTCTGCAGCCTCTCTGTGTCCATCGACAGCCTAGCGTTGCTTTCCTGCCTCAGTTTCCCCTTGCTGTGGCAGGTGTTTCTCTGCCCACTGACAGGTGCCTGGGGTCCCCTGTGACAACTAGAATCGGAGCACTGCTGGCTCTGATGCCACAAGATGTGGTCCAGACTGGGGAGAAAAGGGACCATTCTGAGGCTGAACCAGCTCTGCCATCCAGGAGGGTCAGGATTTGGCCACTGCAGGGCTTTGAATGTGGCTCCAAGGGTGGCTCCTTGCAGGTGGAGGGGAGCATGGCTCCCTGCTCCCAGCAGGACATGAAGAAGGACCCCCAAGAAGCCTGCACACTCCCAGAATTTCACAGCCCACCAGGAAAACCCCAGTGGGTTGAGCTTTGGGGGACTCTGGCAGTGTCACTGCCCCATTTACAGTGGCAAAAATCTCTTTTTCCCCACAGCCAGGAGGAGAATGCTGTTCCCATCAGCCCTCAGCTCCTCTGGCACATCATCTCTTGGGTGGGCCAAAATCCCCCCGGGTGGCCAAAATCCCTCCCAGGATGGCCAAAATCCCTCCAAGATGGAGTAAATTCCCCTGGATTTTTGTGTGTGGGAAGATGTGTAGTTTTTGCTCACTGCAGAAGCAGCCTGCAAGGAGGAAAGTGGAGCAGCGCCCATGGACGTGATGGGTTTAGCAGAGACCTGGAAGGAAAACCCAGCTGAGAGGGGAGCGCTGGCCTCCTGAGCTACCCAACAGCTGGAACAGCTGGAATGGTGCAGGATGAGGGGCTTGCATAGCAGAGGGTATGGTAGATTCACAGGCACTCCCTTGGTTCCAGAGTTCTCCCTGGACAGGGACTTACTGGGAGGCTGAGAAGCAGGGGGGAGGGCTCTGTGCCTCAGTTTCCCCAGCAGGAAAGAAAGCTGATGTTTTGAGGTTGGGTAAGTCAGGGGAGGTCTGGAGAAGGCACGTCTGGAAGGGAAGGCATCACTTGGGCACTGTCACAGCATGGGAATGGGGACCCTTGGGAGTACCTTTGGGCAGCTAGTTGGGTCCCCAGGATGTTTTTCCTTGTGAAAAAATATTCATAAAATTTCTTTGTTGACCGAAGGACTTGTACCAGCCTTGACCGTGTACACACACACACACACACACACACACACACAGAATTTCTGCATTTATAGATACATATATGTACACACATATCTTTATATATTTGCCTAAAAGGTTGAGCCTTTTAAAGCAGAAAAATAGGACGTTTGAGGAAACTGGAGCTTTTCAAAGGCTTTGCTGAAAATCCTAGAAAACTTCAAGGAAGGGGTGGAGAGAGATGGGAGGTAACCAAAATCCTCATTCCCAGGTCCAAAAGCAACTATTTCCTGTAAAAAAAAAAGAAAACATGCTGCTATAAACTTTGTGCAGTGCTGTTTCTGCCTGGAGCCTTGGGGATGGAAGGTGTTTTTCCAGGCAGGATGCTTGCAGGCCCGATGCTGGCTCTGTGTTGCAGGTGTCACCATGAGTGCATGGAGCTGTGAGGATGTCCTGAGCCCCACGGGGACACCCTGGGCCCTGTGGGGACCTGCCACCTGCCTTCCTGTCCCGCTCCTGGGGCACAGGAGCTGTCACAGCCCTGTGTGAGCAGCGTGGTGCAGATGGAGCTGCTGAGCCACAGCATGGAGCTGGGTGGGACCGCACAGCAGGTGCCCTGGCAGGTGTCTCCATGTCCCCCTTCTCCCGGAGCTCACCCAGGGTTGTTTTCCCATTGTATGCCCAAAACTGCTTGTAAGGTGCCACTTGGCTATTAGTGAGCTCTGAGGGTCCACTGTGAGCCTGGCAGCAGCCAGGATGTGGAGGGAAGGCAGATTGCAAAGGCAGGGATAATTCAGACCCCAGCTGAGCTCGGGAGGACAGGCACAGGGTGCTCTGTCCCTCTACCAGCCCCAGCCTGTCTGTGTGCAGCACATTTCACTGGCCTGTGCCTCAGTTTCCCTATGTCACAGTGACTGCTTTGGGGGTGATGGGGCTGTGGGAAGGGCAGTCTCCTCCTCTCTTCTCTGCTCTGGAGCCCATGGCCGGGGAGTGTTGGCAAGGGCTGTGCCAGGGCAGTGGGGCCGTGGCTGTGTTTGAGCTGAGCTGTGTGGGGTGCCAGGGGAAGGGCAGGTCCAGCTGTGACCCTGAGAGACAACGCAGGGACGGAGGGATGTGGGGACATGAGCATGAAGAAAGGAAGGGATGCAGGCATGAAGAAGAGCAGGGATGAAAGAACAGAGGCTGGAGGGCTGTGGGGATCAGGGACATAGGGATGATGGCATGCAGGGATGCAGAAGGGCAGGGAGAGAGGGGTGTGGGGCCGTGGGGATCAGGTCCGGACGGGGCAGACCGCGGCGCCGGGAGGTGGCAGCAGCGGCCGAGCGCGGCGCGGGGCGGGGGCGGCGCCGGCGGGGACCGGGGGGCCGCGGGCTCCGCGGGCATTCCCGCTGCTCTGCCGCCCCCGCTCCGCCCTCAGCCCCTCCTGCCTGCGGGGCTACGGGGGCAGAGGGGCTGCCCCTCGTTCAGCCTTCCCGGGTGGAGTCCCGGCACGGACACGGGTGGGTCCGGCTCGGCTGGGCTCTCGGGCGCCTGCCCCTTCCCGCAGCTCCTCCATGGCTGGGAATTCCCGGCTGCGCTGGCGCCGAGCCCTTCCCGAAATACTTGTCCGAGCCGGGGCTGTAAACAGCATTTTTCTCTCCTTGCAGTCGCTGCCTGTGAGTCCCGTGAGTCCCTCGCCCTTTCTGTTGCTTCTTTCAGGTGTTCTGGACTGTCCACTTCCCGACCCCTCCGCTGCACCCTGATGGAGCCAGCGACAGCAGCCGCCTGGGGCACCCCTCACCCTGACACGGGTGGGCACAGCTTTGGCCACGGTGGCATCCACGCGTCCCTCAGCTGGGCTCTGGTGCCAGCACAGCCAGAGGTGCCCGGCGTTGGTGTGGGGAGCACGGAGTCCCTGCTCCGCAGGACGGGACCAGCTCCAGGCCTGCGCTCGCTCTGGGAGCTGACGGCTGTATTTATGGACTGGGTGGAAATCCAGAAGGCTTCGTCAAACGTCCCACGGGCCCCGGGCCTGCCCCTGCCCGCGGCTCGGACACGTCACGGACACGCCTGTGGGCTTGTCACGGTCAGCCATGGAGAACAGCCTGGGGGGACACGGCTCAGTGGGGTGAGGACCTCACCTCCTGCCTTGGTGAGGACAGCAGCCATCAGCCGCCACTCGCCATACAAGTCCCCTCACCCCTCAGCCACAAGTCTCTCTGGCCATGATCTTGTTGTCCATGAGCCCTCTGGCGAAAATGCTCCCGGCAACCAGTGCCCTTGGCCGTATTGCCCCAAACCATAAGTTACCCCCATCCCATTGCCCACCCACCCACGCCGTGCAGGCACCGTGGGGACCCCGCCGTGTGCTGGCCAGGGGCACGTAGGGATGTCCTGGAGCATCCTCGGGGAGGGGGTCCCGGGGTGTCCCCGCTCTCTCGCCCCCAGCCATGGGCTGTGCGGGGTTCTGCACCGATATCGAGTCTATTTAAGGAAGCCCGACCCAAACTGGCCCCCGGGGCTTGCGGCGGCGGGGCCGGGCCGGGGGCGGGGGCGGGGGGTGCGCTGAGCACGGCGGGTCCCAGCCCGCCCCTTCCCCGCCCGCCGCCTCCGCCATGGGAGCCGCGGGGCCGCTCTGCGTCCTCCTCCTGCTGCTGGGCACCGGCACCGGCACCGGCACCGGCACCGGCACCGGCACCGGCTCCGGCACCGGCACCGGGCCGGCGCCACCGCGCCTGGTTCTCGCCCTCCTGGCCCGGAACGCGCAGCACTCGCTGCCGCACTGCCTGGGAGCCCTGGAGCGCTTGGACTATCCCGCAGGCAGCATCGCCCTGTGGTGAGGCAGCGAGACCCCGGGGGGAGCCGGGACGCCGCGGGGAGCAGCACGGGTCCTGGGGGAGGAGAACGGGCATCTCGGGGGGAGCCGGGATGCTGGAGTCACAGGGACCGCGGGGATAACGGGGAGCGCCGGGGGAATGGGGGTAGTGGGGGGGAAGGAGGGTCCGGGGGATTTAGGGCGACTGTGAGGGAGGGGAATGGAGAGCCGAGGATAGCAGGGACCCGGAGGACAATGCGGGAGGGGAACCAGGGAGAGTGGGGGAACTGGGGGCTCTAGGGTGGGCAGAACAGATTCGAAGGAATGGGAGCCTGCGGGGGAATGGGGATCTCTGGGAGGCAGGGACCTTCGGGAGGAACAGGGACCTCGCTAGTAGCAGCGTCTCCAGCCCCAAAATGCTAGGGGTGACTCTGTTCCATGTTTGGGACCCAGCAGGGAGCCGGGAGGGGCTCGGGAGGGGCAGGACCCTCAGCGTTCCCCTGCGGGGGCTGTGGGGCTGATGAGGGAGGGGACCCCTGGGCACAAGGGGATCCTACATCATCAGGGACAGGCGCTGCTTTCCCCCTCCCTGCAGGGCTCACCCTCAGGCCCCCCTTCCCAAAGACACCCCCAAGCCCCCATTACCGTGCTGGGGGTTGTCTGGAAGAGGAGTCTCCCGTCTCCTCCTTGCGCCACTGCCGTCTCTCGCCTGAACTTGTCGGAAACTTTTCTGCAGCTGCTTTTGCAGGGGAGCTGAGGCAGGGGCTGGCGGGGGGATCCGGGTGGGGCTGGGGCGGGGGCAGCTGCTGGCAGGGGAAGGGGAAGGGGGGTCCTCACCTCTACCCACTGCACCCCCTGGAAACCCCCGGCTGCAGGACCCTGCAGGGTGTTTCAAAAGCAGCCCGTGGAGCTGGGGGAATACAGATCCTGCCTTCTCCCCTGAATCCGTCAAATCTCCATGACGCCAGTGCCTGGGGGATGTCCCGGGGCTCCTTGACAGGTCGAGGGTGCCAAGGAGTGTAGGAACTTGCAAGGTCTGCTCAGCTCTGTCTGTGCTGGGCTCCCTGTGAACATTGTTCTGGGGATGCAGCTCATTGTTCTGGGGTGGGGTGGGAGAGCTGGGAATGGTGATGATGCCCGGCAAAAGGGAATGTTCAGGAAGGGGGATTTTTTGCAGTTTCCTTTCACTGGTGGAGCAATAGGATGCACGGGGGTACTGTGGAGTGTAGGGACAGAAGACAAAGTGGCTGTGCTGCAATGCTCATGGTGGGCAGTCACAAGGCTGGGGTGAGGAGAACACGTGCAGGGCTGCCACTGGGCTGCAGGGCTGCAGGGTGGGACTTGTGGAACAGTCTGGCTGCCAGTGGCATCAAGGAAGAAATTACCAGTTAGTGTTCCCCCTGCTGCCTATGCAGCTTTGGTTCCTTCAAATTACATGTTATGTTCCCAAGCAAGTCTGTCACTGGCTCAGTCTTTTGGCACTACGAGCATTTCTAGTGCAGGGGTGAGGTCCTGGTTGTTCCTTAAGGAGGACCTCCAGAGGCTGATGTCCCCTCATCCCAGGTGTGCAACAGACCACAACTCGGACAACACAACAGCAATGCTGCAGGAGTGGCTGGGGGCGGTGGGGAAGGATTATCACTCGGTGGCCTGGAAGGTGCAAGAGGAGCCCAGGTGAGGCTGGGTGAGTGCTGGATGGGGGCAGGTGTGGGCTGAGGGGCTCCTGGAGCAGCATCAACTCTCCCTGGCTGTGGACCGGGAGGAGCAAAGCAGACTGGGGCTGACTCAGTCTGCCAGCAGGAGCAGCCTGCACTGAGTTTGTGCATTCCCAGCGAGTGAGGTTAACCCCTGCCTCCCCCTGCCCAGCTCCTACCCTGATGAGCTTGGTCCCAAGCACTGGAGTGACAAACGCTATGAAAATGTGATGAAGTTGAAGCAGGAAGCTCTCACCTACGCCCGGGAGCAGCAGGCAGACTACATCCTGGTAAGGGGCTTGGGGCACTGCTGGGGTGGGGGCTGAGGTGGCCTCCACATCTCCAGAACCTGTGCTGTCTCTGCAGTTCATGGACACTGACAGCATCCTGACCAACAACCAGACCCTCAAGTTTCTCATGGCACAGAACAAGTCAGTGGTGGCCCCCATGCTGGACTCGCAGACCTTCTACTCCAACTTCTGGTGTGGCATCACACCCCAGGTACATCCCCAGAAAGCCCTGGAGGATGAGCCACCCCCATGGTGGAGGAGCTCTCTGCCACGGAGGCTCTGTGCTGGTGTTCCACAGGGCTACTATCGCCGGACAGCCGACTACTTCCCCACCAAGAACCGGCAGCGGGTGGGCTGCTTCCGTGTCCCCATGGTCTATGCCACCTTCCTGATCGACCTGCGCAAGGAGGAGACCTTGCAATTGGCTTTCTACCCACCCCATCCCAACTACACCTGGGCCTTCGATGACATCATTGTCTTTGCTTACTCCTGCCAGGAGGCTGGTGAGCGTGATGGGGGTTTTGGGGGGTGCAGGGGCTTGGGGGGGCTGTGCTGCTCACCTGTTTCCTCCGGCAGGTGTGGAGGTCCATGTGTGCAACCAGCACCACTTTGGTTACATCAATGTTCCTGTGAAGGCCCACCAGACACTGGAGGATGATCGTGCCAACTTTGTGCATCTCACGCTGGAGGCCATGGGTGAGTGCCCATGGTGGAGAGGTCCTGGAGGCTTCCAGGTCCTGACAGGGCTATCAGCCCCAGCTCCCAGACAGGGGAATCTGGGCTCCACTGAAGAGTGTGTCCTCTCTCCACAGTGGATGGTCCCCCCATGCAGCGCTCCAGGCACATTTCTCTCCTGCCCAGGCCACTCACAAAAATGGGCTTTGATGAAGTAAGTGACCAGTGGAGCTGGTCGTGTCCTCCTGTCCATCTGGTTGCATCCATCTCTCTGATTGCATCTATCCATGGCAAAGCCCGAGCCCCTGTCCCCATCCTGCAGTAGCCAGGCAGGCTGTGTGTCCTCCATGACAATATACCCCATTGCTGGGGCTCTCCTCTTCCTCCCCAGATCTTCCTAATCAACCTGGTGCGGAGGCCAGACCGGCGGCAGCGAATGCTGGCAACCCTGCAGGAGCTGGAGATCATTCCACGGGTGGTGGATGCTGTGGATGGCAGGTGATCGTGGTGGGACCACTCAGCCAGTCCGTGGTGTCACCCTGGGGAGGGTATGGGAAGTGTCTTGGGGGACACCTCGCTGATGCAGCCGCTTGCCTTGCAGCACCCTCAACAGCACTGACATCAAGGTGCTGGGTGTGGACTTGCTGCCCGGGTACTACGATCCCTTCTCCGGCCGCACGCTCACCAAGGGCGAGGTTGGCTGCTTCCTCAGCCACTACAATATCTGGAAAGAGGTATGGGGCCACAGCGGCCATGGGGTCCCTAAGGGCCACCAGCAGTGGGCAGGGACCTTGTGAGCGTCACAGTTGTCTGGAGGACATACATCTCTAGGTGCCCTGCAGGGTCAGTGGCCCCAGTATGGCCTAGAGTGGTGCTGGGATAGGCTTGCAGCTCTGTCCCCTCCCCCAGATTGTGTCCCGGAGGTTGGAGCGGTCCGTGGTCTTTGAGGATGATGTGCGCTTCGAGGCTGCCTTCCCAGCACGGCTGCAGCGGCTGATGGAGGAGCTGGAGCAGGCACAGCAGGACTGGGACCTCATGTAGGTGCTGGGGCCAGGGGGATGTGGGCTGGGGGACCCCAAGGCTGACTCTCATGGTTCCCTGGCCACCCCACAGCTACCTGGGGAGGAAGCAGGTGAACGATGAGGACGAGGCCCCTGTGGAAGGCGTGCGGAATCTGGTGGTGGCCGGGTACTCGTACTGGACCCTGGCTTACGCCATCTCCCACCGTGGGGCACGGAAGCTGCTGGCCACCAAACCTCTCTCCAAAATGCTGCCCGTGGACGAGTATCTGCCCATCATGTATGACAAGCACCCCAAGTAAGGAGCAGGTTATGCAGGAGGGTGCTGCCCTGGCCATGCCACTGTGGGACAATGTGTTTCTTCTCCGTCGTCACCACCTCACCCAGTTCCCCCCTTTGAAGGCGTTGCTCGTGCTGGAGGAAAACATCTGTAGCATGAGCTCATTCTCAGTCAGCCTCTGCCTGGCCACTGGCCGCTGGAAAATGGCCCTCTGCCAGGATGGGGTGTGGGATCAGGATTGGAGCTGGGGCTTGATGTGGGCCCTGCACAGGGTCTTGGCCCCATGGCAAGGGGCACGGAGCAGCCCCCTATACCCTGGTGCTGGGGGCTGTGTGGTCCTCTGCTCCTGGCTGGTGGTCTCAGCCCCAATTTGGAGCACTCTCATGCCCCGCTCTGAGGTGGGGGTCAGTGGTAAGGCTTTGTCTGGGGAGGGGGAGGCAATTTAGGGTGTGAGTGAGCACCAGTGGGTGGGTGTTGTGGGAGAGAAGGGATTGGGAAACCCAGCAAGCAAGATGGAGAAACACAGGGATCAGGCATGTAAAAGGCAGGCTGGAGGTGGATGAAGGGACAGATTAGAGCTCTGGATGTGCACCAGCAGCAGCTGGAAGCCCCGTGCTCGCAGGCATAACAGCACCAGACAGCCCTGTCCTGGGGCCAGCTGGATGCTGTGCCAGAGACCCACTCTGTGCCAAGAGCCGGCCCCAGCTGGCGGCGAGCGACAGGTCCTGTCCTCTCTGTAATCCCTGCACAGTCCCTGCCCAGCATTCCCCAGCTCCATGCCTGGTACCCCACATCCCTCCCTATCCCCTGCCCTGCATGGGGCCTTCCCTGGGTGGTTTTTCCAGTGCATTTTCTCCTCTGTGCCATGCTCTGTAAGCCAGTTTCTCCTCTCGGGTCTGCTCCACTTTCCCCAGTGAGGATTACAAGCGGCACTTCTCCCCACGGGATTTGCTGGTGTTTTCGGCTCACCCCCTCCTGGTTTATCCCACTCACTATGCTGGGGACAGCAACTGGCTGAGTGACACCGAGACTTCCACCATCTGGGATGACGATGCCAAGAAGACTGACTGGGTTGGCTCACAGAAGACACTGAGGGACTCACGGGGCAGTGCTGGCCACCTCCGCTCCACGGCCCGTGACGAGCTCTGATGGTGAGCAAGGCCGTGAGGCCTGGGCACAGGGGACAGAGCAGGTGGGGAGCGCCTCCCTGCAAGTGCCATGTTCGATGTGTGCCACATGCCTAGCTTGTTTTTGTCATGGGGCAGCAGCTCTCCCCATCAGACTCAAAGCATTGGGAAACAGACCAGACTGTCTTGTCCAGATGGGGAAAGGGGTGGGGACACAGATGTCCCATGTGGGGCTGCACTGGGCTGGAGGGGATATAGGGACAGGGCCGTCCATCTCCCTGAGTCCATGCTGCTCCCCAGCTCCTCAGGTGAGGAAGGGAGAATGCTCCTTTGCCTGCTGCAAAAGTCTCCTCAGTGTGGAAAGAGCTGGGGCATCTCCCAGGGGAACGTTTCACCCCAGCACTGCTTGCTCCCTGCAGAAGTGGGTCTCCCTGGGGCTGTAGCCATGCAGGCAGGCAGGCGACCCACACTGGCTCAGCCCCAGGGCAGCACAGACACAGTTACTGCTGGGTCAGACTTTCCCTGCCTGAAATTCCTTGTCCTGGCAGCACAACTGCCCTGGGAGCTGCCAGACCGAGGGAGGCTGGAAAATGCTCCTCCCACTGCCTCGGCTGCAGGCGTGAACAGGCTGGGGCTGCTCCTGCCGTGACCACTAATGTCTGTGTCCATGCCTCCTTAGGGATGAGGGACTGTGATCCAGCTGGGAGCACCGTGGGCAAGGACCTTATACTGCCTGCTCCCACTCAAGAGATGCAGCTGCCCTGGACAGAGCCCCACAGGGTTCTTTGAATCTGCATGTGATGAATCCACCCAAAGCAGGATTTGGCTCAGGAAAGCCTTTCCCTACCAAGTGGAGAGACCAGAGGAGTGTTGTGCTCCGTCTCTGCTGAGGACACATCTCCGGGACAGTCCCAATCAATGCCAACTCTGCTGTCTCCCACCAGCCTGGACTTTGGGGAGTGGACTTTGGGCTGGCACATGTGGTGGCCTCCTGCCACTGACTGGGCTTGTCCCTCCTGCCGTGCCTGGGTGGAAGCCCAGGGAGGATTAAAGCAGACTGTTTGAGCTGATGTGCTGGGTGCTGGCATTGCCCCAAGTTCCCAGGGCATTACCCCACTGGGGTCACCTCGGAGCTGCAGGGGCAAGGGTCTGGAAGTTCCCCCAGCTGGGAACTTTGGGAATTAAACCTGTAAGGGGGAAAGAGAGGGAATGAGAGAGGTGGTGGGGAGGAAGACAAGCTCACCCTTGGGGTCTGGGTGGGAAAGGTGGGAGAGGTGGTGGGGAGGAAGACTGAAGCTCACCCTTGGGGTCTGGGTGGGAAAGGTGTGTGGCATCTTCATGGAGCTCAGCTCTCCCTGGAAGCAGAGGTGATGGAGCAGCAGGTGGAGGTGTTGGTAACAGCCACCCACAGTGAGATGTGTTGAGACTACCCAGTAAATCGGGAAAGCATCATTTGGGGCAGGTTGAACAGCTACAGCAGGGACCTCCTGAAGGAAAACAACCAGGTCCATATCACACAGGATCAGAAGATCCAAGTGGATCTCCTGGAGAACAGGGAGGAGATGGCCAAGTGCCTATTCTGCAAGCGCAGGGTGCCAGCCAGTACAGACATGGGTGAGGGAGGGATGACAGGTTGGGCACACTTTTGCTTCCCAGCTTTTCCCCTGGTCCAGGCAGCATCAGTGCTCCAGGAGGAGCTCAGGAGCTGAGGATGGAGCAGAAGAATGTCTGGTGCCAGCTGGAGCAGAGGATGCAGGCAGCAGAAACACTGTGGTATACATCAGCCAGCAAGTGTCCCAGTGCTTGTTCCAGTGCCTGCTGGGATGCAGGAGAGGAGCTGCCTTTGCTGGGTGTCTCAGTATTCCTGGGATACAGCGCTGGGCAGGACATGCTGGCACAGCCCAGGACTCCGGGACACAGTGGTGGTGAGGACACGCTGCCTCAGTCTGCCCTCTCCACCATGAGAACTGCAATGGGTCTGCGGGAAGCCGGAACTCCTGCAGCTGTTGGAAACTCCAGAGTTTCAGCCAAAACCACTGAACTCGAAAACACAGTGAGGCCAGCCCTGAAACTTGCTGCAGCCCAGTGGGAGCAGCACGCTATGAGATTCCAGGCTCTTCGTGCTTGCCAGTTTCTCAATGAAGTTGAAGTGCCTTTGGACTCTACAGAAGTAGCTCCCATTGCTCCCCATTTCTCACTAGAAGCCTCCCTCCAGACTGGGCTGATTGAACAGGGATGGGAACATGGATTTGAGCTGCAGTGCCAAGGACAACCCAAGCAGGCGGCGCATGGAAGAGAGGCAGGAGCACGGCAGAGTCAGGGTGAGGGTTTATTTAATTTCTGTGCCAACCTGAGGCATGGAGCCTCTGCAGGGATTCAAGTGGGACACGAGCCACCTGGATTGGTGTGGGGATGGAAGGAGGCTGCCCCAGCTCCCAGCCAGGCTGCTCAGCTGGGCCAGCTCTGCTCCGCACCACGGGCACTCCGGAGTGCCTGCAGCACCGTGTCCATCAGCCTCAAGGGTCCCTGGGGGTTTGTGTCAGCCCCTGTCCCCTGGCTCTGTGGACGCTCGGCTCTGGATGAGCTCCAGCAGGCAGGTCACTGCCTGGGCCAGGATCTGCTCCAGCTTCTCCCGCTCCCCCGCAGTGAACGGGGACAGGACATAGCTGGGCACTGTCACGTCACCCTCTGGCCGCCCGATGCCGATCCTGAGCCGGGTCATCTCCTGGGGAGGAAGGAAGAGAGCTGTGGGAGTTCTCCCTCAAGTGTTCAGACAGAGCTGGGCAAGCTGACAGTGCTGAGAGTGGGGCTGGGCAGCAAGGGAGCAGCTCCTCATGTTTTCCAGCTGGTTTTGAGTGCTTGCTCCAAGAAACATAATTTTGGAAGAGGCTTTTGCTGGGCTGTGCTGATATCCCAGGCTGCTGCCAAGCCTGGCAGAGCCACTCAAACTAATTGTTTCCATGTCCTCCATGGCGGCCAAACAGACAACAGCCCTCCAAGAAGAAGGGGAAGGAGAAAAGGGGAGAAAGGGGTTTGTCTAAAAAGAATCAGAAAAATGGGAGTGGGGGAACAAGCCGTGCATTGAGGGGGGCACAGGATTGATCCCCTTCCACAGATGCCCACTCACATTGGAATGCAAAGCACTGATGCAGGATTGGACCCCGTTGTGTCCCCTTGGGAGAGAGAGAGAGAGAGAGAAAACCCACACTTAGTTTGTAAGAGACACTCCCCCACAGAGCCCTGGGGTCTCCTGCTGCAGGAATGTGGGAGTGTGGTCCCAGCCAAGGGCTGCAGTCCCCATGTCCTGGTTCTGCAGGAACATCCAGCCCTGGGGGCTCAGAGCAATTGGCTGGGGGTTTGCGGGAAGCAGGGCTGTGACAGCACGTTCTGTGTCGGCTCTTGCTGCAGCTGGTGCATGTGTCACTGAGCACTGGGGCCCAGCACCACACCTGCCCCATCCCACAGTGGACGCTTTCCTGGGTTAAATAGGAAAGCTAGGTCTGGCACTGTGCAGGCACAGTGTAGGCAGAGTGCTTTAAAAAGCCCATGTAGTGCTGTCAGTGGGCTGAATCCAGCCCACAGCCGCTTCCAGGAGGCTCCCTGCCCTCCCTGCCAGGGCAGGAACTGGGAGGCTGCCCAAACAGTCAGCTGTTGCCTCTGCAATAGATCGAGCCCAGGACAAGAGCTGAAACATTGCAAGGCTGGTGGGATGGGGCCAAGAACAGCCCATGAATCTGTATGGGCATGTTAAAGCCTCAAACCAGCTCCCACAATCACAGAGCTGGGGCTACCCCATACCTTGCGCTGCCTCCCAGCTTGACTGCCACCTTGCCCAGGGCCTTGTCCAGGTCATCATGAACCAGGTAAATGTCTTTAGGGCCAAGGCTGTAGATCTCAGCTTTGGAAACAGAAATACAACCTAAGAAATGAGGGGAGACAGACTCACCAGGCCCTGACTCTGCAGAGTGGGACTGTAGTGAGCTGTGGTGGGCAGGGAGACAGCAGGGCTGTCACAGGGGGCTGGTGGCATTAGAGGCTTTGGGGCTGACCCAGTTGCTCACCAGCACTGGCGACGCTGAGCCCATTGAGGTTCATGAACCTCCGTGGCTTGAGCAGCACCAGCTCCAGGCCGTGGGCTGTGGCCGGGGCCACATCAGCACAGCACCGCTTGTCCACTCGCCAGCCCTCAGCCACTGCCAGCTGCCGGGCCAGCTGGTCCAGCACCTCCATGCCCACGCTGTGCCGCGTGCCCCGCAGCCCATAGTTGCCCAGGCCGGCCACCTGCGTGACAGGTGTCCACAGGGCTCTGACGGGCCGCCATGGGCCTGTTCCCCCCCCCAGCGTGACTCACACTTGCTCCCTGCATGCTCCCCACGGCTGGCTGGGTCCTCACAGCCTCAACCCCACAGCATTCCCTTCAGTCCCTCTGCCCTCGGTGCCCCCCTCACAGCCCGGATCGTGCCGGTGCTCGCCCATCACCGGTTCCCCCACGGCACTGCCCTCACAGCCTAGATCCACCCTGTTCTCCTCACAGCCCCGCTCCCTCTGCTCGGTTCACAGCCCCGATCCACCCTGTTCTCCTCATAGCCCCGCTGTCCCCTCACAGCCCAGCTCCCCGCTCTCCCCTCACAGCCCAGCTTCCCTCACAGTCCAGTTCCCCTCACGGCCCCGCTCCCCTCACGGCCCCGCTCCCCCGCCCTCACCATGGCGCGCGGCCCCGCCCGCCCCACGAGCGCTCGCGCGCGCCCCGCCACCTCCGCCGCCAGCATGGCCCGCCCTGCCCGCGTGACGTCACGCCCCCGCGCCGCTCAGCGCCCCGCCCACGTCGCATCGCCCCCGCCGCCATCTTGGTCACTGGCAGTGCCGCCATCTTTCCAGCGGGCGTCGGGGCGGAGCCGGGGCCGGTGTCGCGGTGATGTCGGTCAGGGCTGGGGCGGTTTTGTGTCTTTGTGCCTGTTCCGTCTCCACTCGTGTGCCGGCCCTTGGCATATGGCTGGATGGGGAAACACATCACTCCTCACCTTCCCCCAAGCCATCCTTCAGCCCTGGTCCTCACCCTGCCAGCAGGGCACGGCTTTCTGCCAGGGCACTGTGGGAGTTTCCCAGCCCAGCGGCACATCACTGTGCTGAAAATTGGAAATTGGTCATTTTCCAAGTCCTTCCACAATATCTGCAGTCAGGAATCCGTGTAAAAACCTCAACTGTTTAATTCTTAAAAGATTTATTTTAAAATTAGATATTCATATTTTTGCAAGAGGCAGAATCTTTGCCTCTGTCTTTGGACCAGCTCTTGGGCAGACTTTGGGTGGTGTCTAAATTCCCCAAAGCTCAGGGCCTGGAGCTGGAATGGTCCCAGGCACTGGCAGCTCTTTTTCATACAGGGAACAAGCAGAGCTTTGGAAGCTTTGCAAAGTGTCCCTACACCCATTCCTTGAGCAGGTTATTCCTAGCGAGTTAATGACTCTGGTCCCCCTGACCTCTAATTCCGTAACAGCGTAGAGGATATTAAAACTGGGGCAAAAGCCAGGCTGTGCATCCCATGTTGGCAGTCTGGAGCACTAATCTTCTCTAACTTGTCCCCAGGTCCCCCATTGTGACATTCCCCAGAAGCTGAATGGGTGCTGGCCCAGCCAAAGCCTGCAAGGTCTGACCAGCACAAGGATGTACAAGAAGCTCCACAGCTCATAGCACCAACACTGCTGTAGAAACCATCACTGAATAAAAGGAATTTTCAAAACCGTTAGCAGCACTGTGGGCTCCCCTGGAGGTAGGATGAGATTCTTCACAGCTGGTAAAACCAAGAAGTTTTTTGTTGTTATTTTCCTGGTTTGCTACAGGGAAATCCTTTGGCCCTTAGGGGAAAGATGGATGAAGGGGTGGTAGGTAGGGGAGCCTGGCTCATGGCAGATCAGGTGCTGCCCTCTCCCACATTACCCCCCTCATTTGGTGTTGAAGCTACCAAGCACCTATTCACAGTGAAAGGAAACTGGAATGTGGGTGGCTCAAAAACTTCCTTGAAAAGAAAACTTGGTTGCCATGTTGAGGTGTTCACAGGAATCAGCACCAGTACTCACGTTGTGCCAAGAGCTGAGGCATGCCTATGATTAAAAAGCTTTTAAAAAAACTGTAAGGAAGAAATAGTCTTCTGTGGGCTCAGAAGCTTAAGGTATTGGGTATCAACAGCTGCCAGAAATGGGGAGGGCTGCAGGTGGGTGCTGCTGACAGGGTGACAACCTCCCTGACACTTCAGACCTTCTCAGCATCTTCCCCATGTCATCACACATATCTCAGGTGGTGGATCCACCTTTACCTGGCCAAGACTGCATCAGTAAAGTGCTTTAAATTACATAATTTGCACCTGATCCTGCAGCTGCATCCTGCAGTGGATTCCTTGGAGCTGGAGAGTTCAGCAGGAGAGCACTTGTGCCGTGGAGAGTGCATTCCCACCATTCCCACTGCACATCCCACCAGCCCTGGTGCCTTCTAGCTCCATATGGATCTGAGAGGGGCTCTTGCCAGTGACTAGAAGAAAAAACTGATGCGAGAGGCCACTGTTTTGCAGCCTGTTGATGAGAATAATTTCTCCTCTTCTGGGAAGTAGGGGATGCTGTCAGCCACTTCCTGGATGACACTCGGGCGTACCTCGAGGCCTTGCTGGACAAGCTCGTTGACAACGCACTGCTTTACGTGGTGGTGCTTCAGTGGGAGGAAAGGCACAACAAAATCGATGAGCTGTTCATTAATGATCCCAGATTTCCAGAAGCCACCTGCACAAGGAAAGGAAGAGAAGGTTTTACCTCCAGAGAGTCTCTGCAGTCCCTGCAATTCAAAGAGCGGCTTTGTGTGAAGCCAGAATACTCTGCTGAAGAGAGATCTTGCTGTTTTTGTACAAAGAGAGGGCTCAATGCATCAGTTGTCACCTCCCCCCACCAAACAGACTTATTCTCTAGGAATGGAGGGATTTAGCTTGTCTAGTCAGAATTTAAGCTCTGCTTAAATTTAAGGCAAGGAGATGCAGACAGGCAGTGGGGATCAATATAGCTCCGTGCTGTCTGCCAGCCCCCAGCTGCAAATACACCTTGTCTCCCAAGAACTTTGCTAAATATGGCAACAGGTCTGCTGGCTCAGAAGGAAGGAAACCTCAAGGGAATTGCAGTTCAAATTCCTCAAAACCCCCTTGGTCCCTTTCTGTTTGCCTGGGAGGTGGCAGGTGGTGTGGGTGGCTTCCTAGAACAGGCCTGGCAGCCTATGATGGGCTCTGGGGCTACAGGAGGAGCTCAGCTCCATGGACTCACTCTCAGGGTTTTCAAACACGGCCTTGGAGATGGCTGGCTCCAGGTCCTGCAAGCTGATCTCCTCCCGGTCCTTGCGGGCACGCCACAGAGCCAATGTCACGTTGTTGATCTGCTCCCCTCCTGCATTGCTGCACAAGAATGAGAGGCTTATCCACTGTGTAGCCAGGAAAATGGTGTCTCAGGTGGCACCCACCAGCCTGCAGAGTGCAAGCCAGCAGCTCCCAGCTGCCTGGCCCAAAATAACTCCTGTAGAGGCAGCCAAATAACATGCAGAGGAGGCTTTCTCACACTCTCCAGATCTGTCTGTTCACAGTGAGATAGCAACTCTTGGCATTTGTAGAGGCTCAAGGCTTGGAGAAGGAAAGGCAAAACAAGTGTGTGCCCTGAAGCAGGTGTGACCTCTGCCCAAATGAGCAGCAGTGAGCTGGAAGGCCCCATGGAGGGGCCTCTCTCACCTGATGAAGATGAAGATGGCTTTGCGGTAGTTGGTCCCGTACACAACCCATGAGGGGCCCAGGAACGGGATGATCACATCAATCAGGCCTGGGTGCATCTTGTCCATCTCATCAAAGAGAAACGCTGACCGTCCACAGTTTGTCAAGTTCCCTTGGATCCAGCGCTTCAGGCTTTCCTAGGAAAAACACCCACCAAGTGTAAGGCAGGGAGATGGCAAGGAGGGCTCAAGCAACCCAGAGTAAAGGCTGAGGCAGGAGCTCAAGCACAGTCAAAGGTGCTGAGAGCAAATTCCTGCACAACACCACACACTTGGACATGAAAGACCCAGTGCTGGGGAGGCCCCTTTACTCTGGGTTTCACACAGTGGCTATTTACTAGCTTTTTTAGCCCATTGTAGGTAGTTTTATACAGATTTAAAGGAGGAGGCAGCACACTAAAGCTGGAAGATTCAGACTCCTACAGCTCCCCACGTTCTTCTCATTCCTTGTTGTATCTACACAGTTCCCAGCTTTTTGCCGGCTCCTGTTCTGATACAGAAACATGTGCCTGCACTGACCCAGAACAGCTCTTTATCATGGCTGAAGGTACTTCCCAGCCCACACAAAACCACTCACATTGCCTGGGGGCTTGTGAAACTCCTAACTGAAGCACTTCAGCCAGGAAGGGATTTACTTTTCCAAAAGCATTTCCTCTGAGGACACAATACAACAAATAACTTCTCCAAACACCCAGAAACTAAAAGTGCAGGTGTGCTGAATTCCCACTCTGCTGAAAATCTGGCATTTTGATTTCTCTCTTTTCTCAGCTCTTAGAGACAGAACGGCACCATGGAGAGTCTGGAGCTGCTGTTAGGGAGCTGTGTGTTCTGTGAGGAGGGGATTACAAGTCTAGTGATATGCAGGTTTTTACAGCCATCAGGCTGTTTGGAAAGCAACGGGAAAATTTTAGTGCCTTTCATCTAAGCCAAGCACTTTTGTTTGTGCGTTCAAAGAGCTGTGTAAATATTTAAGAATGAGAACACGATCAGGGCAAGGACTGCTGTGGAGAGGATGAAAGTAATAACTGAGTATATTGCAGTTACTAGTGCATCCTTCAGCCAGTGTATGGAGCCACTCACCCAGCTGTTTTTGTCTGAGAGGGTAAAACAAAGAGCTTTTATTCCTACTGCACTTCGGGAAACAGCTTGAATGCATATGTACTGAGGGTCAACCCAGACACAGCCAAAACCCCCCAGTGAAGTGGCACTGCTGAGCAGTGTCCCTTACCTTGTACTGCTCTATCTGCTCAGCGTGGGGGAAATGCACTATGGGGGAGAAGTGGTGAACATAGGGGCTCTGGAGCCCCCTCTGGAAGAGGTAGCGGATGAGCATGGAGCTCACGTAGGTTTTGCCTGTTCCTGTCGAGCCGTGGAAGGACATCACGAGGGGTTTCACCGGGTTCGGGTTCTCCAGGAACTCCCTCACCCCCTTCATCACCTGCTGCCTCACCAGGGGCTGCCCCACCACATTCGTGGCCAAGTCAAACTCCAGACCTGAAATGAGGTGAAACCAGGACTTGGAGAACGCGGGTTGTCACCGCTCCTCCCGTCCCCGGGGGCTGCCCCGCCGGGCCCTGGCATGCCCGGCTGCAGGGCCGAGACCCCGCTGCAAGGGACGGCCCGGGCCGGCTCCGGGAGCCGCGCTGCTCCCGGGGTCCCTTGCCTGCTGCCCCCGCCCCCGCGGCTTCCCCTGCCCCAGGGCCCCTTCCCGGCCGGCCGCTCCCGCTGACCGCGCAAGTCGGGCCCGAAGCCGCACTCGCAGTCCGCCGAGAAGCCGCAGCGCAGCGCCCACAGGTCCCAGGCGGCGGCGGGGCGGGCGGCGGCCGCCAGCAGCACCAGCAGCACCGGGGCCGGGGCCGCTCCGGGGGCCATGGCGGCCGCGGCTCCGCAGCGCCGCACTACAACTCCCAGCGTGCCCCGCGCGGGGCGGGGCCAGGAGCATGCGCCATGGAAAGGGGCGTGGCCATACATCAAGGGGCGGGGCCTGGTCCCATCGCCCCGCCTCCCTGGGGAGGGTCCCTGTCCCCCCTGTGCTCCCCTCGCGCCTTGGGGACCCGCGACCCTCTCGCAGAGAAGAACCTTCTGAAATCCAACAAGGGCCAATGTGGGGTCCTGCACCCTGGGGAGGAACAGCCCCGAACACCCGTGCTGGTTGGGGGCTGACACGGAAAGCAGCTCTGCCTCTGAAAGGACTGGGGATCCTGGTGGACAAGATGTCTGTGAGCCAGCGGTGTGCCCTGAGGGCCAACAAAGCCAGTGGGATCCTGGGGTGGATTAGGAAGAGTATTGCCAGCTGGTCAGGAAGGGGATCCTGCATCTCTGCTTTTAGAAAATGGACCAGACTGCTCAGTGGTGCTGCAGACAAGAGGCAATGGGTAGACACTGATGCCCAGGAAGTTCCACCTGAACACAAGTAAAAACTCGATAACTGTGAGTGACAATGCACCGGAACAGATTGTCCAGAGAGGGCGCGGAGTCTACAGGGAGGTGGGACCAGATGACCCACTGTGGTCCCTTCCAATCTGAACTGTTCTGTGATTCTGTGACACCACACAGCCCTCCTCAGAAGGGCTGTCACTGGGCCACCATGGGGTCTGGAGCCAGGTTCAGCATGGTGATTCCCCCATCAGCCCTTCCCATGCTCTGCTCCCCCAGGGGGGCTCCCTTAAAGGACACCCAGAGGACAGGGGGTCCCCTTGAGGAACGGGATAAAAGTTTATTGTATGTAAGAACCAAACCCATGAGATATGTACATGTATTTACATGACAAAATGAATAAGCCTAATTATTTACAACAAGGACTGTCCTTCACAAGTATGTACATCAAGAAGTAATCGTGGAAATATATTTACACACGGGATCCAGCAGCTGTGGGCAAGATGGAGATGGAAAAAAACAAAACCAAAGGGTGAGGTGAGGGGCACCATGTAGACCTCAGCAAGGCTGGGTGTGGAGGCCAGTGCTGGCCAGCCCAGACACTGTCCCCACTCTTCAGAGTAGCAGTGTGGACTCCTGGCTTGTTGTGTCCTGAAGAGGTGGGTGGTAGATTTGAGGTGGCTGCGTTTCCTCCTCTTTGACTCAAAATTGCCAACATGTGCCTGTGCCTTTCTGGGCCATCTCTCCTCCTCCTGATGCTGGGTGCCTGTTCCGTTCCCTTGCCCCACAGCCACTGGTGGGATGCAGGCTGGGAGCTGGGAGTCTCCGGGGGCCTGGGGGGGTTTACAGCTCGCTGAAGCGCACTGCTGGCTCCAGCTTGTGGGACAGGGCAGTGAGGACCTTGTCAAACTTCTCGTAGCGCTCAGCCTGGCTGCTCTCAGCCCCACGGCTGCCCCAGAGCAGTCGCAGTTGGAACTCGGTGCTGAAGACTTCCAGCAGCTCCGCTTTGCCCTGGAAACCTGCAAGAGGGAGAGTCAGTTCCCTGGGATGGCACCTCCTGCACCTGTGGGATGCCCCATCCTGGTGCTGGAGCTGCACACTGGGAATGTGTCAGAGGGAAAGGGGTTCTGCTGTCACCAGTGCTTACCCTGCAGCTTCACCTCAGCATTGGTGTGGTAGAGCCCACCGTGGTGAGCCACCATCCGTGCTGCCTCCAGGTGGGCCATGACCACCTCCACGCTGTTGTCAGTGGCCTCCCAGGGCTCGGGGCTTTCCGTGAGAGCCTCGTCCCGCTCCAGGAGAGTCACAAGGGGTATGATGTGGGGAAAGGTGGTGTTGGTCAGCGGGGGCCCTTCTGGGGAGAGAGGCACTCTTAGGACCCTGCATGGCCCTGTGACCCCGCGTCCCCCTCCCCATCTCCCTGTGGAGTGCTCATGTGGCCAACGCTGCCATGATGCCACCATGCTCCCAGGAGAGGCTTCAAGGCTCAGCTGGACACAATAGCTGCTGTGTCTATTTGATCCTGTGCCTGGGGCCATTGCCTTGTCCAACACCAGCTCCTCCCAGCCAGCGTTTCTGGCTCTGTTGGGAAGGGAAAGCTGATGGCCATGCTCAGGCTGCATTTCCCGGGGCTGCATTGAGTAGCAGGTTTGCAGACCATGGGCACCAGGCATTAGAGACACATGGCTTTTCATCTTTCCAACTGGCTGCCCTGTCCCTTGTTTTGGCACTGACTGCCATGCGAGCACAACGGTTTGGCTCAGCTGCTGGTTTTATTTAGTTATGAAATACTTCCTTGGGAAGGAAGGGGCAAACAAAGCCAGACAGGCTCTGCTGAGTGCTGGGGTGGTTCAGCAGCCAGAGGGTGTCTGGCACTGGCTGGGAGAGGGTCGGAGCTCTCAAACAGTGACACCGTGCCCAGACAAAAATGGGAAGGAGAAAGCAAGTGAGACAAGGGGAGTTGCTCCTGTTACCTTTCCCTTCATTCAGGCTCTTCAGGAATGGCTTTAGCTTCTTCTCATAGAGGATTGCACCCTCTGTGTGCCGCTGCCGCAGCACCATCCAGGTCTGCTCCAGCCGGGCAATCTGAAAGGAGATGGGGCAGGTAGAAGGTGCTGTGGGCAGCACAGCTTCCAGGCACCAGGGAGAACAGCCTGACCCTGGTGCCATACTCCCCAGCCCTGCACACAACAGTGCCTGATGCTCCCAAAAACAGCCTCCTTCACCAGTGCTCATGGCCAGACACGGCACAGCTCTGGCACTGAGGCTGGGCTTAGGATTTCTTCCCCTGCCCGTGCCCCAGGACAGCAACCTCCTTGCGTCGCAGTGGCCTTGAAGATGAGATGCAGGGAGGGGGCAGCCATTCGACCTCCTTTGTGCAGGCAGGAAGCAAGACTTCCCAGCTGGGCTCGATTTAAAATTGAATTTTAATCTCCTTTCATCTTCCAAAGGGAGCAGTGTGGCCCAGAGACGCTGCTGCCACAGCCTTGAGACTGATTTGTATTGTACCGGAGGGCAGATTCATTTCCTCCCAGGAACACAGCCCAGCACAAAACAAAGAGCTCAACCACCGAAAAACAATTGGATCCTGGTGGGACTAGGCTGTCTGCTCCGTGGAGGGGATGGCTCTTCCCCTTCCCTGCTTGCATCCCAGCAGATGTGGCCCCATGCCTCCTACCCGGGGCATTTTCCCCTTTCATCCATCCCAATGACTCTTGGAGCCTGCAGGACACAGGGAGAGGGATGCATTTTGAGCAAGGGGCTGAGCCCAGGACATGAGGACTAAAGGAGCGTCCCCATACCTGTGTCATTTCCAGGGCGCTCATTACAGCTGCAAAACTGAACATGTTCCCCATGGTGCTCTTCAGCTCGGCAGCCAGCTGGATGGTTTTGTGGAGTAGGGCTGCTCGCTCCTCCGTGCTGCCTGTGCAGCCCAAGATATCCACAGCGATCATGATGGACATGGTGTGAAACCTGCCAAGGGGGAACACACAGAGCGGGGTCAGCACAGGGAGGGGGGATGCTCTGGGGGTTTAGACAGGGCTCCTCCTCTCCCCTCCCCTGTGCCATGCTGGGAACACCCAGGGGAGCTGGCCTAGGCTGTGCAGGGCAGCCCAGTGGGCTCGTTTTGGCCATGCTGTGTCATACCGTTCCAGCAGGTCCAGGCGGAGCTGGTGGCCGTGGGGAAGGGTGAGCAGCTCCATGCCAGAGCTCACCCCCATGAGCCGCTGCATCTCCACTGTCACACCCAATATCCGGGCAACCTAGCAAGGAAGGTGAAAGCTGATTAGAGCATTGTTAACTGAGGAGAGGCTGAGGTGTCCTCGGGCAGCCTCTTTCCCCAACCCAGCCTCTGCCTGCCCTGGCTGATACACCAGGCAGAGCCCAGCAGGGATGCTCCAATGCTCAGGGGTTGCCTGATGTTCTGATGCACTGATCTCTGCGAACCCAGATTGATCAGAGGGCAGCAGCACCCGTCCCTCCCTCCAGGCCCTGGCCGTACCAGGCAGTCCACTTTGGTGATGTGTTTGGCCAGTGTCTTCACGTCCACCTCTGCCAGCAGCTCTTTGACCTTCTTTAGCACAGTCATCTCCAGAGGTTTGTTATCTAGGGGGATGAGCAGGGACTGGAAGGCAGCAGGGTTGAAGGAGGAGGTTGTTTCCATGGTGGGGGGCACAAAGCCCTTGAAGTCCAGCTCTGCTTTCAGCCTCTGCCCTGCCTCTGCTTCCCCAGAGCTGTTCTCCACAGTCCCTCTCTGTCCTTCCTCCACCTTTAGCCTCTCCACGTAGCTCTTTGTTGGTAGCTGCTTGGTGTCGTGGGCTGGCCGGTCCCTGCAGATGGGTGAGCTGGGGTGCAGCTGGCAGTAGTGCCCCGTGTCCGGGTCGCTGTAGCTGTTCACAGAGGGAGAGGGGGAGGCACGGGCGTACCCATGGCAGGGAGTGGAATGGGAGCTGTGGGCAGGGTCTGGAAGAGGTTTGCTGTTGTTCCCATGGCACAGCTGGGGTTCGCTGGATCTCCTTATGACTGGAGAGGCTGGGGTGATTCCAGATGCTTGGCAGGCATGTGGCTTTAGCCGTGTGACTGTAGGGAGCAGAGGGGACACTTATCAAAGCCTGAAGAAGCACACATGCATAGGGACTACAGATGCAGCAGCTCAGGGAAAATCCCTCTGCCAAAACAGAACAACCTGATCCCAGAACAGCTGCACAATGATGCAGCCAAGGACTGGCTGAGGTCCTGTCCCTAAGGTCCCCCTCCTCAGGTCCCTGCATCACAGCAGCGCCAAGTCCAGGCTGATCCACAGCCCCACTGTCCCCAGAGGGATGGAGAGGCAATGCCTACCTGTGCTGTAGGCAGGTGATGCTGGGTTCTCAGAGATGGGGGACATCGGGGAGTGCAGGTCTTGGATCTGGTCCACGCTGACAGCACAGTTGCGAATGATGTCTCTGTGGTGGGGCAGGGACACGCTGGGGAGGGGACAGATGGCACAGGTTAGTCCCTTAAAGCAGGGCCCAGGCAAGCACAGAGGGGCTGAGATGAGGCTTTGCTGCTCAAACACCTCCCACGGATCATCACCTCCTTCCACAAGCACCCATAACAAGCTCAGCTGGAGCAGTGAGAGGGTAGTCCCTGAAGCAGTTGCAGCAGAAGAGGTCACTACTCACTGACCCCCATAAATCAGAGACAGACCTGCCTGCAGAGGGACTCTGGTCCTACAGAAGAGAGCAGAGCAATGCAACTGTATGCCATGCCAAGCCAAAGTACTTGGGATAGGATGAGTTTGGTCTGCTCCAGAGTGCCGTGGGGAACTGGATCTAGCAAAGAAGTCAGGGACAGTAGTTTTCTAGGGTTGTGCTGCAAAGTGGTATCTAACACCATGTTACTCTATTTCTACCTAGAAGCTGTGTTGGGCTAGTTAGGTGAGCTGTCGCTCTGACCCAAAGCTTAGGAGAGCTGGAAAGTGCCTGGAAATGGGACTTTGAGGTCTTGGGCTAGTGGGGCAGCAAGTGGTGGCCTGATGCAAACACTTTATGTCAATGGGGCTGCAAAACATGCTGAGTGCAGGGAGGGTTGAAAGGAGTTACAGCAGGCAATTTACTGCCCTCCCTGCCGTGGATGAGGGCTAGGCTGCTGTGATGTGTTTGGTCTTGAGCACTGTGCCTCAGCAGTGGGAGGAGAATGGGACAGCAGTGGTGGTGATAAGGGATTTGGGGAAAATGTGAGTGATGAGGAAAGACTGATGGATCTGGGCTCTTCTGGAAACACATATGCTCTTCTGGAAGTCTGAGTGTTTTCCTTTTCCCAGCCTTAACAGCGGGTTGCCTGTTTTCTGCTGGTGCTTTCTCACCCTGCCCTTGGGCTCAGAAGGTCAGGGTGGTGAGAAAGCTGCTTGGCTTAACAACAGGCTGTGTCCTGCTGGAGGCAGGGGTAGATGGGTCTGCCCTTGGCTGCTGCATGTGAAGATATGTGTGTGGCCCTGCCTTCCCTGCAGGGCTCTGGGCAGCCTGGGACTGCCAAAAGTGAGCTATACAAAGGAAGTCTCCTCCTCCACCTCTGGAGAAACCCAGCTGGCCAAGGTTAATGTGAACAGCTCAGCTTTGTGAAGGCTGTGATCCAGAGTCTGTGCAGACTCCATCAGCACAGACTCATCAGCCTCCTCCTGCCCATCAGGCTTTCAGCTCTGCTTGGTAACTCCCTACAAATGCTGAATGGAAAGGGCTCTGAAACTAAAAGGGCCATTCAAAACCAAACAACAAATGCTGTCTTGGTGTCTGGGAGTGACTCTCCTCTCATGTCTGCCTGGGAAAGCTCAGCTCCATGGCTCTAACAAGCCCTGACATGCTGGTAATCCTGGACTGAGTGATTGTAAAACACTCTCTGGCTTCTGGCCTGAGATGCTAAAGTCATGTCTGCTTGCTGGGCGTCTGCTGTGGTAGCTCAGCATGGCTGGCAGCCTGCCTGGGAGAAAAACCCAGTTCCAGCTGAGTACTGATTCTTCCCTCCATGCCTCTTCTGGTCTCTCTCTTCCATCCCTGATCCCCAACCTCTGCTCTGCACCCAGAGAGCAGTGACTGAGCATGCCCTGCCTCATTCCTGAGGCTGATCCTCTGCTCAGCTGAGCTGGGATGAGACTGCATGCTCACCTGGTTGGGCACCCCTCAGCTCTGGTGATCTTGTCTGCGGTCAGACCGTCTGTCATGGTGATGCTCCTCCTCTTGATGTGCCCCCCTTTCTGGGAGGAGGGGCTGTGGGGTCCCCCATGCTTCCCGTTGGCCAGCCCGTAGCTGGCTTCCAGGTAGCGCAGGGGGAAGGTGCGGTTGATGGGGCAGTAGATGATGGCCCCGCTCTGCTCCGAGATGGCCTTGCGGTTGCCCACGTAGAAGCGGACAAGGGCAGGCACGTTGTCAAAGCTCTCTTGCTCGAAGAGGTACTGGACATGGGTATGGCCATCGCTGGACTTGACTGTCACCTTGTTGATCTTGAAGTGCAGCGGCTCGTTGCGCCAGCGGCACGTCAGCACGTAGTCACCCAGGCTGGTGAGAGAGTCACGGATGAGGAAGTCGCCGTTCCTCTGCACAAGGCTCTCGGACACCTGTCAGGGGGACAGGGCACAGCTCAGCCACAGCCACGCTGGATGGACCACAGGGCATGAGTGGATGCTCTGCTGGAGTGTTATTTGGGGCACTGGTTGTTCCCCTTGCCCCTAGCTCTGAGCCACAAGAAGGCATTTGCTGTAGCAAAATCAGGCAGCTCAGAGCTAATGAAGCCCTTGACCAGATGTTTCCCAAGACAGGCTGGTGATTCTGTGTGGCCTCAGAGTGCTCTCCCACAACATTCCAAGTGAAGGGTGCCCAGAGCCACCCACCTTCCCCATCTCACCTCCCGGGGGATGCGGCCGTGGTACCAAGCATGGCTGCGCAGGTCGGTGCTGCTCAGCTTCAGCTCCTCTTCCAGCTCCTTGTGAAGCTTTTCTGGCGATGAGTCAAGGATGTATTTCTCCTTGGAGAACTGTACAGGAGAAGAGAGAGTGTCAGGCAGTGCAGCAGTGCAGGGACTGGGGAGGGAAGGGCTGACAGAATCCCCATATGGGGACTGTAGCATCTGCCAAGAGCACAATGGTCCCCAAAGGCCAGGGAACCCAGCTGTGTGTGAGGATTACTGCTTATGGCAAAGGATGTGGTAATGTGCTTGCTGATGGTCAGGTCCTGTCACCAGGAGCACTTGGAGGGTCCCTATTGTGCCTGGCCACCCTGTGCCTGGTGTGCTGCCCCTCTGCCCCAACTAAGAGCTGAGTGTGGTTGGGCAGGAGAAAAGCCCTTAAACATGTCTGGGGCTGAACTGCCGTGAGAAGCACTCTTTCAGGAGGAAACCTGCATTATTGCTCCTCCTTTAAATATCTACCACAGTTCCTCTTTCAAAGGGTTAACTCACTGTGTGTAGCCTGATGGCAGCATAAATACTAATGACAAATGTAAAGGGAACCTCCTGCATTGAAATTAGCTTTTAGAAATTAGCTTTCACCAGCACTGGTGCACCTGAGCCTGGAGGATGCAATCTGCCCCCTCCTTTCCCCTGGAGAGATAAGAGATGATGGCTTCATGTGTCTGTTGGCTGGAGCCTGCCTGCCTCCCTCCTTGCCTGATGCTGGGCCAGTATTCCCAGCGTGCAGCTGCTGGCATGGTGGAGTCAGTGGATGTCTGGGGACATGAGCACAGGTTTGGGGTTCCTGTGTGCTTCACATGAGGCAGTTCTCCTGCTTGACACAGTGGCTTTGAGGTGATCCTGCTGCAGTACTAACACAGCTGCGTGATGGAGCAGGGCCTGGGAGCCAAGACTCCTGGGTTCCCTCCATATCCCAGATGTGTGGTGTCCTGAGAGGGGGACACGTGTGCCACTGCCATGGACTCAGAAGCTTGGATGGGGCTACTGGGGTGTGCTGTTCCTCTGCTCCCAGGAGTGAGGGTGGCTGGTGGCCTGGCTCTCCTCCGGCGGCAGTGCCAGCTGTAAGGAGGCAGCGGGGGCTGGCCCAGCTCCCCGGTGCCTGTTGGGGCAGGATTCTGGAATTGTCTCACAGGACAGGCATGGGCTTGAAGCCCTGCTGACACTGCTCTGGCACTGCCAGAGCAGCAGGCTGGCACTCAGGGCTGACCTTGTGTGGCAGCAGGTTCCCCAGAGCATAGCGAGCTGCAGCCCCACGCAGCACCTCAGGGACTTGCCTTGGAGATGACCTCTTTGCCCAGTGCCTCATGCTCTGTGACTGGCATCGATTCCCTCTGCTCCTCTACTGCTTGTGAGCAAGGGAAAGTGTAGAGAACTGTGCTGCTCTCCTGCCTTGTACCCACTGCTCTTGTGGGGTTCTTGGGACCCACCCCACAGCAGGACCCTGACCCCCTCAGCAGGACCCTGACCCCAGGCCTCTCCTTCCCCTGAGGAGACGTTCCAACCCTCCTGGTAGCTGCATTCATTTGCCAAACCAGGCAGAGATTCTGTCCTGGAGACCCTGCTCCAGCCTGGGGAGATGGAAGCAGACAGTGGCAAAGGGCCCATGTCCTGGACTGTGCTCTCCAGGGCTTGCCCTCACCAGCCTGGACCTGCCTTTATTCCTCCCTTCCCGACTCCTGTAATGTCAAAGGTGGTGGGCGAGTGGAAGCAGCCTATGAAAACAGTGTGGATTGAACTCTGACTTGCTCATCCAACAATGTTTATTCTCCCTGTGAGAGGATCCTGTTGACTGGAGCTGCAGGGATGTGTGGATTGTCTCCCTCTGACCAAGGGCTGCAGGGAGCTGAGCACTTGCTGCTGCTCTGGGCCCTCCTGGAGACAAAGCACCCGGTGCTGCTGAGCCCGATTAAAAATAAATGGTAGCTGGCGGATGCTGCAGGGGTCCGGCTGCCTCCTGGGGGGCCCAGGCCGAGCAGATGCTGTTTCCATGGTGACAAATCCATTGCCACGGAGCAGACCTGGTTTGGCTGAGGGGTGGTGGGGCACCCTTGACTGCAGCACCCTCTCTGTGACAAGGTTCCCCCCAAACTCTGGGGCATCAAGGGACCCCCCAGGAACCTCTTCTGTTTGTGTAGGTGAAAGCCATGAGAGCTGAGCTGGGAGCAGTTTGGATTACAGCTCTCCCCCCACCACCCCTGGAGCAGGGATTAATGCCTGTTCTGCTCAGCATTGTACATGTGGGTTTTCCTCCAAATCCTCCCCATGCAAATGTGCAGGGTAACAAAAACACAAGCCCAGCTGAGCAGTGCCCAGTGTCTCTGAGCCCAGATTTGGGCAGCAGCTGGCTGGCATCCATGCCAGGAGCCATGAGCTAAGCTAGCAGGAGAGAACAGGAGGTTTGGGAGAGGCAAGGAAGGCTTTGCATCTTGCAGATGGGGGAGGGAGCCTAGCTGTGAGCAGAGGGTGTCAGGAGCCACCTTCCCCAGCCATGTGGAGGGCACTGTCCCTTCAGCTCCTTGCCTAAATAGTGAGATTTGCATGGCCACCAAGAAGCCACTGCTTGGAGTGATTGTCAGGCTACAACAGCTGGGGAGGCAGCACGAGACTGATCGTGGGTAGCCCTTTTCCTTGGTGTGACGTAACTGAGACCAGTCCTTATTGTGAGTCTCATGCTACTCCAACATGCTGCCAGAATCACCTGTCTGTGTGGGAACTGGGCTCCCCACGAGCCCTTGGTGCAGAAGACCCCCGTGCTGCGGAGGGCCGTGTTTCCTCCTGAGCCCTTCAGCAGCGCTCCAGCTTCCTCCGCTCCGTCGGGAGCGTGTCTCGGAGGAGCCCCTCGCAGGCTGCCAGCTGGCCGGGTGCCCGGCGCTGGCAAGGCCTGGCATGGCACGGCCTGGCGAGGCGGCGCGGGCCGGCCGGGCGCTGTCAGCAGTGTGCAAGCGGATGTCTGAGCGCCGCCCTGAAAAGGCATCGCTCGGCGCTCTTGGCCGTGCCAAGGGAATGTCTAAAGATGCACGGCCCCGTGTGAGCTCTTGCATACTAGTGGGTTGGGTGTGGGGAAAAGCCTGGACTCCCATTAGCATCTGGCTGGAGTGGACGGTGCTGGGCTCCAGCATGAAGAACCCCAAAAGCATCTTCCAGCTGAGCAGGAAGAAATGGGGATAAGAGCGGTTCTCCAAACCAGCCGCACCAGACAAACCAGCTCAAAATCTGCCAGAGATGATGCCAAGCTTTGCTTGAGGAATCCCAACCGGCAGCCAAACTGTCTCGGCTGGAGAAAGGAGAGTGCCCTGATGGGCTGTTTCACAGTCCTGGGGCTGGGGAATCCTCTGGAGCAGCCATGAAATGGGGCAGCCATGAGAAGGCAATTCCTGAGGCTTTCCATCCCTGCCTGCTTCCCTGAATCTCTGTGCTGCTGTCTTGATGGGGGATGTGCTTCCCAGCTGAGTGGCAAGGACTGGAACTGGTAGTGGAAGGGCAAGAGGGATGGAGGGTGCTCTTGCCTGTGCATAAAACCAGTGGCTGTCACTCTGCCTGCTCTGAGGAGAGCTTCAAAGGCTGGCATTTGGCTTTCTATCCTTGCAGAGCTAATCTTATGAAACTGGAGTGATTTCCATTCTGCTTTCCTGCTCTTCCCTCCCAACCTGGAGGAGTTGCAGATGAGGATGAAGTCAGCTTGGAGAGCAAGGTGTACTCACACCCCACCCTGCTGATAACATCTGACTAACCCCAAGGCACCAAGCACATCTGTTCTCCCTCCTGCTCATGCTGCCTACCCTATGCTGGGACCCTGGCTAGGGAAATCCCAGCTCCTTCTGGAGTTCTCCACCCCTGCTCTGGTTGCTGGGGCAGCTCTGGGGCCTGGGAAGCAGAACTGTGAGGAAATGGAGTAACAAGCCATTGGGAATAGGTGTCTGGGGAAAGCCACAGACTTGCATGAGGGATTTTCTCTGCTTCCTCCACACCTGGCAATGGGCTACTTCAGTGGTGTGTTTTGGAGCAAACATCCTTGATGAGCATCATGGCAAACCCAAGAACAATTCTGCCTGCCTGATGCAGAACTGCTGCACTTACCAGTCCAGGCACCACCCGAAAATTATTACTCCACCTTGCATGGCCACGAGAAAATGCCACCACAAACAATCCCCGGGTTGTTATGGGCTTGCTCTCAGTCTGCATGTCCTGCTGTGAGCCAGTCTGTCCTGCTGATCTTGATATCCATATGGAAAAGAAAACCCTTGTTCCTCTATCCTGTCTTGAAATGGGTCTAGGAACCTAAATGGCCTCTGAGAAGCATCAGCCTATCTGCCCACCCCATAGGTGACTGAAGGCATCTCTTGGTTATGTCACATCTCCATTAGTCCCCACTGAAGGTAGATTTTGGCTCAAGATCTTTGTTCTGGAGTTCAAAGCCCTTCCTAGGACTACCTGTCTACCTGCCCTTCCTGTCTACCCTTTATGGTCTCCTCTCCCCTTGCCCATACTCCTTTGTGGCAGCTCTGGAGCAATTCTATCATGCTGGCAGGGGTGGGGTGCAGCTGGGCTTGATGGCCAGGAACATCTGGGTGCTCTAAGGTGGGACCAGCACCCCAGGTTGTGTGGTGGGGTGATGGAATATGCTGCTACTGCTCCCCTGGGGGAGCAGGTCTCCAATGCAGTGATGGTGTGTGTGTATACACACATTTCCATCCATCTATATTTTACTTATCTCACTCCAAGACGGCGGCAGCGGCTGCTGCTGCATCCCTTTTCGGAGCTGCTATTGGCCAGAAATGATGTCAGTGCTTCCCAGGCTGGGTGCACCGCCATTGGCGGTGAGCAGGGATGCGGCTGTCAGCTGGAAGTGCTCCAGTCATTCATGGGGACTTCAGTGTGTGTTTGCTGGGCACGCTTGGACACAAATAGATGGTGAAAGATCTGGCAGAGCCAGGTGAGCACTTAGGGCTTCACTTTTAACTCTCTCTGGGGTTAGGATAGAGTGCCCTTCATCCCTTCTCACATCTCCACACGAGAGGCAGATGCTCACCTGTCCCTCCCTTGTTCTGGCAGCAGCTGGCTGAAAG